GCCAGTAGTGCACGGTTGGCTTGTTCCGAGAGGGCAATAGCCACACCGTGTCCACCGGATGAGTCACTTGGACCACTGTGATACAAGGTAAGATGGGAATCGGCTTCCGAGATTTTGATTTCCTGGGCGTCTGAATCGGGCAGTCGCACTTCGGTCAGGCAACAAACATTCACGTGATATTCATGGAGACTGTGCGCTGTTAGACTCTGAGTACCAGGTTCCCAGAAATGTTTGCACATTGCAGCATCCAATACCAAGAGTCCGTTTTTGGTTGAGAAGTCCAGCTTGCGTATTATTGGCCCGCATTACTGGACAAGGGTTGCGGAGCGCGTCGGTTCCCGCGGACGCCGTAGCATTGGTCGTAGAATCGTAAGTAAGCATGTCATGAGGTTTCTTGGGAATTTTGAATACAGGCGGGTCCCCAACGGCCGCTCAGCACGATATCCATCTGCAGCTGATGTCGTTGTCGAACTTACCGTTAATTAGTCTCGGCGGTGTATTCTTAATCGTATGCGTTTTCACATTCTCTTATTTCGTGATTTATTTTAATGTTTTTGTCATTCGCTTTTTTGTAACTTATATATTAACTACAGCCAGTCGGCTTTAAACACATGGCTGATGTTGAAAGCGGTTTTATTAATTTTTATCAATAAATTAGGTTTATCGGAATACAATGGCTGTCCGTATACGCAAGTTCAGTTTTAGTTGTCTGTTAAATATTGCGAGATACGTAAAGTCCACTTCCATTTACTATGCAGTTTTAATTTGAACTCACGAGAAATCTTTCAAAAGCGAATTACTTTTTCCCTTGCCTGCTTTTCGACTGACATGTCACCTATAATCTTTTCGCCAGAGCTCTTGTGTCCTCAAACGCGTGTGGTGGTCCTAACACTGTCGACACCAGCATATTCTCTCGCGCCCCAACCGTCAACCCACAAGCTCTGCATTCTGCTCTGGACCAATGCCTTGAGAAGTTAGAAACGGTTTTTGACATCTCTATTAGTCTTCTTGCTCATCCAGATGGCGACGTAAGTCAAGGTGTCTTGCCCTTTATCGGAGACTACTTGGGTCTGCTCAAGGCTGGCACCGCTTCTGACCAGTCCGGTAAACTCTGCAAGTCGCCCACAACTAACCAGCAGGTTGCTGGTGGAGCCAAAATCCTTCTTGAACTGAACGAATCTCGCCAATTCAAGCTTGATCGTCTTCTACGCGTTTTGCTCGACAAGCTTAAGTATCCCACAGATGCTAGCGCCGAAGAAATGGTAAGTTTTTAGTAGG